AAGATCCTAAACAGCATATAAAACTGCAGCTATAAAAAGTATATCTAAATCTGTATTTAAATTTTAAAATGTCTTGTTTCAAGTACAAAATGCTTTGTGAATTTTTGTTTTAAGTCTATGGCACATGATATATTTTTTCTTACCAAAATTGTTTGCATGTCAGTAAATTAGAAATTCTGTGTATGATGCAATTCTAATAATTTACTAAAATGAAAGCAATCCAGCAGAAAAAAATGCATCATGTGCGGTTTTACAGTCATATGTAGGTTTTATGGTAATTGATAAATGAAATTTTTCTCCTCTCTCTCTCTCCTCTCTCATGTTTTTATCAACAATTTAAAACTTCATAGTACTAATTGTATAGATTGTACACTGAAAAGAGTTTGGTTGCATTTTAAATTGGAATTTAATTTTGGTTAAAAATGGACAAATCAGAATTTTCTGATTGAGTCCATTATAATTTCTAGTTGAGATAGTCAAAAAAACTGACTTCTGATTGATATGATCAGAATCTTTTCCATTTTCAACCAAAAAACTTTTTCAATGTACAATTGCCGAAATCGAAAGTTAAACAAATGAGTTATTTACAAGACAAAACGCAATTTCGAGTTATCGTTGCACATAGCTAAAAAAAAAATGTCTACTCACCTAAAAGCGCCTGATGAGGTTCGGCCATCTGTATTAGTGCCGAGTCTTTCTTGTTGTAGAGGATCTTTACGCGCTGTACATCCCCGTAAACGCCTATATGCACAATACGCAAATTTCTCTTTAGTAAACTCTGGTAGCGACAAACCGCACATTCTTTTTAGAGAAGTTGCTTTGAGGGTTATCGAAGATGAACGGGACAATATTTCAGTCGATCGAAATCGGGGTACGATCGGATCTAAGAATCGGGACATGCAAGAGGCGAGCGATTCGGCTAAAAGCTTTATTTTCAAAGTACAAAGTTATACGGTTTACAAAATAAAAAATTGTAATTATTCATATTAATAGTCTCTTTGATACTTTTATTTCGTACATCATTTTTATGTAACATTTTCTTTTTTAATAATAATTTGCTAACAAAACTAGAAAAGCTAGAAAATAAATAAACTAGTCAATAAATAATTTGCAATTATTAATCTTCATAATCCAGTAAATTTTTGTTAAAATAAAACGCATTAAAAATCAACGAACAGCAACAATTTATTATATATGTTTCCACGAAGTTTAATTCATTTAAATTTTACATTTTTCGATATTACGTAGCTGCTTAGCGAAATGAATGAAATTTTTGCTGGCTAAAAGTCGAAAAATGGATGTCTACGGGACGGACAGAAAATTTTTAATAATTTTTTAAAACGCGCTCTGTAACGCAGTACGTGACTTTTGTACGTTCGTCTGCAATTATCCGGGAAAATCTGCATAACAATCGTTCACGGAAAGGAGAAACATGACCGCAGCCGAGTCGCTACGCCTCGTTAATAGTGAGTTTCCTATGGAATTACGTAAAATAAGCGAAAGCTTATGTAATATTAAAGGTTGTGTGGAACTGATATTAATAAAATATGAATGAAATAATCTGTATAAAGAGATGCTTGGAAATGGAGATCTATGAGAGAACATGTTCGATGTCGATATGGCGACATGACGATGATGATGACGGTATGACGGGTGATCATGATTTTGCGAATGGAGTAGCTTGTAGTAATAAAATAAGTTGAAATCACGAAAATATCGAAAGAGTACGGATTAAACGTTAATCAGAGTTATGGCGGATGTCTCACGGAGAGTAAAACATGACGAGAGGGAAAGAATGACGATGCTCGAGTTTTGTGAGTTGCCGAAAAGAAAAAAAGAGAGTGAAAAAATCATACAAATAAAACAAAAAATAAATAAATAAAGTGAAATAAAAATAAAACCGAGGAAGAAGGAAGAGATCTTTTCTTTCTTTTATTATTTTTCAGTATGAAACGTAAATCTCGGACGTGACAATCGTATGAAAGAGATTCTACGTTGGCATGTTCCGTTTTGTGCGTGTAACACGTTTGTCTTGTTCGTCTCTATCGCGAAGAATATGACTATGTGACCGAATAAAAAAAAAATGTTCAGACGAATGTCTTCATCTGCCATTTTTTATCTCTTTTCTTTTTTTCTATTTCAATTAAATTCGCGCGTACAGCGAAATATTTCCGGGATGTAATGTGTCGCGTATCGCGCGTCCATGTAATGTGTTGCGTAGGTGTGAGAACGCGAGGGTGTAAATATAATAATTAATAATGTAATATAATTAATAATATAAATGTGGAGACGTACCAAACAGGGTAAAGAGAGCGTCAGGCGTGACCATCTACACAGAGAACAGACAGAGTCCAGTCAGTAGTCAGCGAGTATAATAGGATTTAAATGTAAAAGTGTTGATGTGCGCACAAGATTCGCGTTTTTCAAGTTCTCGCATTAGCT